GTTACTGGACCAATAAATCTCGAAGGATCTAACACATTGTTACATGTTGATAATACACCATGGCATGTGAAACGTCTTTTCTTTTTGGTACAAAGTAAAAGGAAGGTGTCTGACACAAGGTTCTTACTTAGTCCAAGGGTGCATTGAACAGGAAGCTGATCCACAGACAGATCCTTTTATCTTTTATGGCTTTTGCCCAATCTTTTGGTGGAAAGGCTCCCATCACTTCCACCTTGTTTGAGGGAATCTTATGCCGTCTTGAGTTAGAGTGGAGTAGTATTTCTTTGGCCCTTTGAAAGACATCAGTGGCTTCAGCTTCTGTGAATAAGGATTTTAAAGCATCATCCTCAGAAAACGGTTTGTGCTTCCGGTGTGTTTTTCTTTCCACACAAACAATCCTCTAAAATATTTTGGTAGCTCTAGTTGCATTTAGGACCAGCCTTGAATCAAACTGGGTGAAATGATACAAACACAGCCTATGTGACGGTTTCCATGTTCTTGCAGGTGCGTGCCAGTGCCATCGCCCAGGATGCAGATCAGAATTATGACTATGCCAGCAACAGCGCTGTGCTGCATCTAGAGCCAGGAGACGAGGTCTACATTAAACTGGACGGAGGCAAAGCTCATGGAGGAAACAACAACAAGTACAGCACCTTCTCTGGTTTCATCATCTATGCTGATTAGATACCTGCTGCAACTTTCCTGTGATTCCAGACCACCTGTTCCAGTAGAAGTCTACTATTTTAAATCTGTGTGTAATATCTAATATAAACTTGTGCATCAGTTTATTTTTTACAGTTTTCAGGGGACATGATTAACATAGGAAGAAATGAAGTAAATGTGATGTACTTTGTATGGGCAATGACACGTCAGCCACTCAGTTTTATATTGTTTTTCATTTTATTACTTTAAACTTGCTTTCTCAATGTGTGTTTCATCTAGTGCACAAAATCTAAGCACAAAAGCATTTTTTGTGTCGAGTTTTGTTGGAGAGTATGTTTGCTAAAACAAACAGACAAAACCTCAAAAAAAGGATTTTGAAAGAAGTCGCTGCTGAGACTGATTTGATGTTGGGTGGCTTGTAGAAAAATGTGATGTACCATGATAAAATATGTTATCTCATAGTATTTTAACGGAACTCGATGTACACATCTTAAGTACTATCCAATGGTCTACTGTTTTGTACCAGTTGGTGGTGGCGTGCCTATTTCCATGGTTCCAACAGCAGTCAGAACATGAACAAGGTAAAGCTCGTAGTGCGTTCAGTATAAATGTTCTTCTGGTTATTCACTGGTGAGTCTCCCCTCATGAGCACACACACCCAAAGCATAGCCATGCACAGGTAGGAGCAGGTGAGACGACAACTTGAACACGTTCATTTCAAGAGGAGAGCAGTAAAAAAGCAACCAAACTTCATACAGTATTAAATAAATAAATAAACAACAACAACAAAAACACAGCTCTGTTCCCAAATACTAAAAATTGACAAAAGCTTAGAATAGGAAAAAAAAAAAATCTAAACCAGCTTCAGCTTCAAATAAATTACTTTAAAAGGCTCCGTACAAAGTTGCACTGGGACTGGAATCCTGCTGGTTGAGCGAAACCAACCAAGTTTCCTGGCAGGAGGGGGCAGTCAAAAATAAACATCACTGTATGTCCTTGAGTGACCTTGATTTAAAGCAACATTTAACAAATAAAGAAAACAATGATCAGTATATTAAACCTTAAAAACTTCAAGAACTTTTAATATTAAACACTATATTGTGTACTTTTAAAACATTACTATATGTCTAGACCACTAGACATATTTTAAATTGGCAATATTTTCTCAGCGCATACTCTTTTTGTTCCGTTAATGTGCATCAAGTGTGCCAGTGATAACTGAATGGAGGCTGCAGTCTATTAGTGCAACATTAGTACATTTTAATAATTTAAAAATGTATTGGAAAAGACTAAAAAAAATATTAGGAGGCAAACTGAGATGGTGAAATAATTATCTATAACATCACACCAACTGTGGGGTGCTGTTTGTAAAGTTACACTGTCAAAAATTAACAGCAATATTTTGGTTTATTTAGCCTTTCATAAAAGAAAGTTTTTTTCATAGTTATATTTTCACCGTGTCATTTATATATTTATAAATTTCATAGTTTCAAACTAAATATTTAATTTACAAGCTAAATATTTAGTTTAAAATTTAAATACTTAACTTGCAAGTTAAATATTTAGTTAGCAAGCTAAATATTTAGCTCCACGCTAAATATTTAGATTACAAACTAATTGTTTATGTGCAAGGTAAATGTTTAATTTGCAAACTAAATATTTAACCTTCAAGTTAAATATTTAGTTAGTGAACTGAATATTTAGGTGTGAATTAAATATTAATTTCCTAGCTAAATATTTATTTTCAAAACTAAACATTTAATTTCCAAACTAAACATTTAATTCCTAAACTAAATATTTAATTTGCTAACTAAATATTTAGCTCAAACCTAAATATTTATTAAAGCTAAACATTTAATTTCCAAAATAAATATTTAATTTACTAACTACATATTTAGCTTGGACCTAATAGTTTATTTTCCAAACTAAATATTTAATTTGCTGACTAAATATTTAGCTTGGACCAAAGTATTTATTTTCCAAACAAAATATTTAATGCATAAAATAAATTTAAAATTTTCTAATTATATATTTAACATACAATTCAAATATTTAGTTTGGAAATTAAAAATTTTGCTTGGACATAAACATATAGTTAGCTTGCTAACTAAATATTTAACTTACAAGTTAAGTATCTAGTTTATAAACTAAATATTTAGCTTGTAAATTAAGTGTTTACTTTGGAACTATGACATTTATAAATGTATGAATGACAGTGAAAATATGACTTTGAAAAAAAAAAAGTTTTTTTCTTATGAAAGGCTAATAAATAAACCAAAATATTGATGTTAATTTTTGACTGTGTAACTTTACAAACGGCACCCCGTAACCAATACCCAAAAGTTCATGAAGTTAATTTTTTTTCTTTATGACAAAACATGTTTCATTTCTCCATTTGAGCATATGTTTGCTCTACTAACCTATTAGCCCGATCTCTATGGTGCAGAATTATTGTCTTCTACCAGCACCAAATATTTTTAAAATACATCGCCCAACCTCAAATAAAACAAACATAAGCATCTTTCAGTGGAAAACAAAAGACGACACTCAACCAGTAGAACTGATGTGGAAATGGTCAGATCGAATGGCAGTGAGCAATGTGTGTGTGCGTGCTTTGATATTTTACGTTTCAATCATTTTGTTCACTCACTCGTTCTTTTTTACATCATTAAACCTACATTTTACCAGGAAGTGTAGACAATTTCTTACCTATAAAGGAGCAGTCAGCTGACTTCATAGATATGAAATAATACTTTGTATGAAGCGCATTTTGATTTACAGCTTTCAATGCTCTTTGGAACACACCTGCCATCATTGACATTGACTGAAACCAGTCCAGCTGTTCCAGCAGCATTTTCTTCACATGTCCTCAGTTTTATACTACAGTAAAATCTAAGGTTCACAGAGAGCTCACAAAGCATTTAACGGAACTGACTGTTAGAAAGAGACAGACAGGAGACGGTTACGTAACAGTTGTTTAGTGTTGGATAACCAATGGGACAGAGTAAAGATAGACATCAAGAAGTGGGGAATATATTGAGCATTGATGGACTGTCCATTCCTAAAAGTGATGACGGAAAGAGAAGCTGCAGAAAGGTCTCCAGCAACACTAAAGGAACAGCAGCAACCACTACAGGGAACAACAATCTCCTGTTCTCCGTTTGTCTGGACTGTGTTTGTTGGGATGTGTGTGTGTGTGTGTGTGTGTGGGGGGGGGGGGGTTTTTCTTACAAAAAAAACAAACATAACAACGGCTAAATCAAGTCTCCCAAATACTTTTATGAAAGTTAGTCTGGTCTGATGGACCTCAAGCTGAACATTTCAGAGTCCACAGTTCTAAACAGTGTCGATGGTGGATCACCCCAAAATCTCAAGACACCATTCACACAGTGAAACACGGCGGTGGCACCATCATGCTGTGTTTTTTATTTATTTATTTGGAGCAGTTTTATTCAAGCTGAAAGGAACTGTGAACAGTTTAAAATACCCGTTTACTTTGACCTACTGTACATTAGGAGTGGGCTAGAATGACGATGAAACATTTTTCATATTTTAAAACCACAGTGACTCCAAACATTTAGACGTACAAAAGGACGGCTTCATCAGAAGAACGTAAAAGATGCGGAGCGTCGTGGCTCGAGTGACAGATTTCAGCAAGTTCTTGAGCAGTGCACAGAAGATGCCAGCTCTTTTATTTATTTTAAGTCATTCTAGTTTTGACAATGCCTTGAACTGACGTGACTTGTAAATTACAAATACATGAAAAAAAACCTAATAATACGGTAGACTCTAAACATTTAAGGACTCTGTTGTATGTTTTTATTTATGTCATAATCATTTTTGTCTTTATTTATTGCACTGTATTTGAACTGTGATCCAAAATGAAACTGCTTTGCACAAGGACAAAAAAACTACTGGATGATAATTATGTTGAAAAATTCTTGTACTTTGTTACAAAAGGTTTTATTATTTTATCGCTATTTTTTCAAGCCCGTGTCTAACATGCTGGACAAGTTCAGATGAAATGATCCCAAATATGTTCACTTTCATTATGAATGTTATTGTTGACTGAACAGTGTATTAATGTTCTGTAGATACACTGCGTGCAATATTATAAATCCTTTACAATCTCCACCATAGAGGAGTCCACTGTGTACTGTTACTTAAACAATATCTCTATTAAAAACTCAAATAACAGAATTGCTCTGTGTGTGAGTATTATTGTAAAAACAGAAATAATTTGTACTTTCAAACACGTTTTCCACCATTTTGAGTCAGGGCAGTGTGAGACTGGAGAAATTATGACTGGTATATTCCTTGGAGGTGATTCATAATTGTTGTCCTACATGCAGTATAATAACTAGTATTTACAAGGACACTAAGCATCGTGACTGTCCCTGTGATGGACCCGCCCAAGGTTGAGCCCAAACCTCGCCCACTGACCACTGGAGACAGGCAGCACCTACTCTGAACAGGAAGAAGAAGGTAAATAAAATCATGGATAGATTGGATTTTTTTAAAAGTGTTGGTTTTAAATCAATAATTGACGCATATTGTTTTGTATTTATAAAACCACCGTAGAAATCATTTGGTAGATTATAAGCTTTTACACCTGCAGAGATGGGAGCATGTTTTTTTAATCCTGGCTTTATTATGGGGCGGCTGTGGCTCAGTGGTTAGAGCAGTCGTCCTCCAATGCAAGAGTTGGGGGTTGGAATCCACCAGCAGTCACATGCCAAAGTGTCCATGGGCAAGACACTGAACCCCTCGTTGCCTCCTTAGAATGATTTGTTCAATTAGCTTTGTAGAGATCTAGTAGAGTGCTGTGTGAATGGATAAATGAGGCACAGATTGTTGTAAAGCGCTTTGAGTATCTTGATTAGATAGAAAGGCGCTATATAAGTACATACCATTTATTATACTTTTGTAAATACTGATTCATGGTAAATGTACTGTACTTATATAGCGCCTTTTTATCGTATCAAGATGATTTTACTCTACAATCTGTGCCCTCATTCACCCATGCATACAGCAGATC